TAATATATAAATATACTAATGCTTATAGTTTCTATTTGACATTATTACTAAATAAAAAAACAATAATAACAAATAAATAATAATGACAAATAAAAATAAAATTAATTTTTTTTTAAATTTTAAAATAAGTACTTATAATCTAAAATTTTATTAATAGTATTTTTTAGCTTTATAATTGTATTATAATAGTTACAAGAAATAATTATAAAAAAAGTATACAACTAACTATTTGTATAACTTTAGTCTGCTCAAAAGTTTTATACTAGTTGTTATATTCAAAATCTGTTTGTAAGTCTTCTATTACTTGCTTATTTATTTTACAAACTATTTTAGTTTTTATTAATACAAATATACTATAGTTATTATGTTTTTAAAGTAGTTTAATTATGTAAAGAACTTTTGAATTTATACTAAACTCATCAAAGTTTTTTGTTATTTTAATTTTTAGCTAATCTAATATTTTGATATTGTTAAAACTTATATTTGTAGCTAAAGCTAATCATTAAATTACTACTTTAGTATCTTTCTTATATATAAGTTATTTGGTTTAGGTTTTTTTTCAGATCAAAATTTTATAAATGATATTATTAAAAATTATATTACTTTTTTATTTAGAATTTCTAATTAAAACTTTTTATTCAATATATGTTTTCAAATTTATTTGTAAAATATTACATATTTTTAAACTTAGTTTTAATACAATTAAAATTATAAAGTTATTATATTTATAATTACACAGTTGGGCACATAATAATTTTTTTAAAAAATATGCTTATATGAAGAATTATTTTTTATAAATTAAATCATAGCTTAGTCTAAATGTAAATGTGATTATATATAATATAATTATATAGAAGATGACTATATAAAGAGATAAATGTATCTTAGATAATTTATCTAAGTTGCTAATATCTAGTTTTTTATTCAATTTATACTTTTTAGATTTATTTATATAACATTGTATATTTTCAAAGTTAATTTTAGTATAACCAAAATTACAAACTTACAACTTTAAATATTTTATTCAAATTATCAGATTAGAATTATTTTTTAAAATTTTACTATTAATAGAATTTAAACTCTAAATCTATTGTTTAAAAAATAACAATCTAACTATTATATTAAGATTGTTATCTTCTAAAATAAAATTAATTTTATATTTTATAATTATATTAAAAGTAACTATATTAAACATTAATTATATATAATTAATAATTCTAGATTTTTTATTAAATAGATTAATTATAAAGAATACTGTTATTTACATTATTATTTTTGCTATTTGCATTATACTAAATACTAAAATTTTATTAGTTTTGTTATAATATTTAAAATTTTTAACTAAAAAATGTTTTAATAGTTTCTTAATCAAAACTTATAACTAAAAAAAAAGTTTATTAAAATAAATTAATAAAATTTGAATATTTAACATAATATAAATAGTAAAAATAATAATGTAAATAATATTACTTATTATAAATTAAAACTTATATTATAAGAACTGTCTATATTAGAAATTTTTTAAAAAAAATTAATATTGATTACAAACTACAAAGTAATTGTAACTAATTTATAATAATTATAATTAATTGCAATTAAAAAAGCTAAATATAGTTTTTAAAAAATTATTAATTAACTTTGTTTTATATTTTTAAAATCAATTATTTAACAATTATAAGTTTTAAAGTAATTAACAATATACTTATATAAATCTTATATATTTTATAAATTTCTAATATTTTTTATATACTTCTTATATAATTGTATATTTATATATACAGGTTTTACATATCAACTTTATACAAACAGACAGTCAAATTCATACAAACTGATAGTCAAATTTGTACAAACTGACAGTCAAATTCATACAAATTAACAGTTAAATTTGTATATAACACTTTTAATTAAATCATAATATCTTATGACCTAGTAATTTAAATTACATAAATTTAGTATTATGTGATTTATCTAATTTTGACAAATCAATTGGTACCAAATTTATATAATTTAAGTTACTAGGTTACAAGATATTGCAATTTAATTAAAAGTGTTATATACAAATTTGACTGTCAATTTGTATGAATTTGACTGTTTGTTTGTACAAATTTGACTGTCAGTTTGTTTGAATTTGACTATCTGTTTGTATAAAGTTGGTATGCAAAACTTATAATCATACAAAATTGTGAAAATTATGCAAAAAATGTATAAAAAGATGTAAAAGATTTATAAAATATACAAAATTTATATAATTATATTATTAATTGCTTTAAAACTTATAATTGTCAAATAATTAACTCTGAAGTTGTAGAACATATTCAAATAACATTTTTCTAAAGGCTATATTTAGCTCTTTGATTGCAATTGATTATAATTACTATAAATCAATTACAATTATTCTGTAGCTTGTAATTAATATTAATTTTTTTAAAAAAATTTCTGATGTCATACCATGCTATTCAAATTAACACTTATTTCTGCAAGTAATACAAATCTAAAAAAAAAAATTCTATGTAGATTACAAGATCATTGCAACCTCTGTATAACATAAAATCGAAGGCTTTTTCAAAACATCGCTGGTGACTCCAAATTTAGCCTAATAAATCTTTTACGTTCTAACAAAAAAAATTCACGGCCAAAATTTAATACATTACACTACTCATATCAACCTTAACCCAACCCTAATGTTGGTCAAAATTTCAGAACCGAATTTTTACTATTGGCACGTAATTTGTATCACTTGCAGAAATAAGTATTTAACATTGATAACTCGCCCATAGAAAGAAAAGGTGTAATGAAAATTTTAAGATTAGGAGTAATTTTTTGTGGGAAACCAACATACGTATTATATAGCATGCTAAGTTTTTGTTATACATATTAAGTTCTTATACGGAAAACTACACATAAATAGTAAGTTACTAGATAAATCAGTATTAGGCAGTGTTTACCATTTTTTCCTATATGACCTTTTATCATATTAATCTTCAAATGACCTATGACAGTTCATTAAGGTCATAGGCCAACACTTAGTGTTTGTAGCTGATCATTATTTATCGACTTGACTAAGTCGATATTTAAAAATCGGCTTAGCCGGCTATGTCGGAGTCGATTATCCTAAATATTTCGGAGTCGATTATCCTAAATTCTATTTGGAAGTTTTCGGATATTTCTCTGGTATTTGATGTTCGTTGATTTTCTTTTCGCCAATTTTCGGATCATATTAATTAACTGCTCTGATTTTTATTATAATCAATATAAAGTCGACTAAGTCAATTTTTTGAAAAATCGGCTAACTATATAAGTCGGCTAAACCGATTTTATCGACTACAAACACTACTCATATATATTGATATGTATTTTTTAAAAATTTTAATTTATTATGTTATTATACATACCGATACGTATGAAATCAAAATTTTATTTTATTAATAATTTAAAAAAGAGTTATATAGTCAAAAAAGTATTAAACATTCTGTAACTTTGTTTTTTGTGTATTTTATAAAACAAATTTCTTTGTTATATTTTTTATTTTTATAAAAAATTTATTGCTTGCTGGTGCAGGACGTTCTGCACTGCATAGTAATTTAGCTGTAAGTTACCAACAACTTGGTAACTTACAATAAAATTTTATAAATTACTGTAATTTTACAACCCTGCATGAGCTACCACTTTATTAGAATAAATTTGGGTAATTTTAAGAATATTTATCAATCCTGGCCTACTTTGTTAGGATAGGTTTGGACAATTCTAAGAAACATCAACTCCGGCCTATTCTGATCCTGAGGTTTTGTCGATCTGCCGAATTTTGGTTGCGCAACTAATTTATTTATTTTTTTTTATATCGACAGTTCCTATTGGTCGTGGTGTAGTCAGGTGATGAATATCGCATGGTACGACACTGCGCTTACTAATTTCACCCCAAGTTTCTATTGGTCCACATTTTTGGATGAAATCGACGATCCTTAATAACGTGCCATGATCCTAGCCAATCAGGAAGCAAGACCAGGTTTAACCGCTCTTTTCTGAAAAATCACATTAACCACGTTCGGTATTGCTACCCACTAACCCTAGTGCTACCGGCCAATAGAAATTTGGGGGGAAAATTAGTAAAACCAAGATATTCGTGTAACATATCGATATACCCTAACACAAACCTAACCTTAACTTATTTTTTGACGATAAATATCTATATATTAAATTTTCCACTTGTACGTAACATTAAGATGGACTTAAGATTGTGTAATTGTGACGTCAAAAATAAAACAATAACGATGGATAATATAGCGATAGGTCATAATAAATATATAATATATACAAGTATACAATACTCAATGATGCCAAGCTTTACCAATAAATTGCCATTTTTGACGTTCCACAAAGGAAATCTGAAAATCTATTTTTCAAGACAACTAGTGAAGAAATAGAATTTTATTGGCAATCAATATTCTCCGCGAATTAAAAGGTTAAAAAACTTTGGTTATAAACTCGTTTGAAACAATAAAATTGCCAATCACATAATAATCGACATCAACCATGTTTGAAAACAAGATTTCGCGTGAAACGCCATCATTTATGCATTGCCGTTATCCACCAATACTAATACATATGCATACATGATAGCATTTAAACATTTATGCGTAAATTAATGCTTTGAAACACCAATAGAGAAATTTCTTTTGCATAAGATAGATTCGGGAAATGATTTTCGGGTATTGGAAATTTCTTTATATTGAGAGTTTATATTTAAGAAAATTTTCCTGTTTTTTTCTGTAAATTTCGGTATTATCTAATATATTTTTATTTAGCATTAATAAATTAGTAGTAAATTTAGCATCTATGCATAAATTTAACCTCTTTTTGAAACACTTTAAAGTTAGATCATACAATAATATATAGAAAATTATACGTTTTTGCATTTTACATTCGAAGATTTTTACGCTTCATGAAATATCTTAAAAACTTTTTAATAATATTTAAACATTTTATTTAACAACACGTAAATAATGGTTCGAGGTCATAATTTATCCATTGACACAGTTGCCGCTTCACGTGCGCAAAAAACTACATCAAAATCCTCCCGTCATAAGGGAGCTGGATCAGAAGATGATACTGATGATTATGATGACGATGCAACATTAGTAGATAACAGTGTGAATCATTCAAGCTTCGATGATGACGACTATCTGACTTCTTCACCTTCAATTATTGAAGAAGAAATTGATTTTACTCTAGTCTATGCCTTACATACCTTTCATGCAACGGTTGAGGGTCAAGCTAACGTCGTGAAAGGAGATTCATTAAGTTTGTTGGATGACTCGAATAGTTATTGGTGGCTAGTTAAAGTTTTACCAAGTGATGAAATTGGATATATACCTGCTGAAAATATTGAAGTATGCTATAAAATTTCTTTATAATGCTTTATTTGTTTATTATCTAATTCATTCACGTGATTTGCAGACACCGTACGAAAGGCTAGCAAGATTGAATAAACATCGAAATATCAATGTAAGTGAAATTCTTCATAATATATTGCCAACTTATGCATAAAAATTAATAATTATGTATTCCTTTAATACATCCGGATTAAAGTTAACATCCTCACAAAACAATACTGAATCGGATAACTCGATTTCTAAAATTTCAACAAATCAAGTAAAGGCTGTCACTTTTGCATCTCCATTATTTTTTGTAGCGGCAGTATCTGATGATGAATACTATGAGGATGATGATGATGATGATGATGATGAAAAAGAAAGTTATGTGAGTAAAATTGAAGTGACTACACAGTCAGTCGTACAGCATGAGAAAATAAGTGATGCACAATTAGTAAATGAACCGGAGGAAATAAAACATGCTGATAAGCAAGTAATAAATTCTGAAAGTAATCATTCTATGAGTCAAGATAATCATAGGGCATCCAATAATTCCGATAGAATGTCCAATAATTCCGATAGAACATCCACCAATTCTGATAGAACATTCAATGATTCCAATAGAACTTCCAATAATTCCGATAGAACCTCTAATAATTCCATTAAAGTAACAGGAAGCGAAACTGTTGAATTAAATGTTAAAAGAACGGATGATCAACAATATGAACAAGAAATGAATCAACAACATAGACAAAAGAATCAACAAAATAAACAACATGGGCAACCACAATCAGTGATATCACAACAAAGTGATGACATTAGACAATCATCACAACGGTCGCAAGCATACCAAATGAAAAAGCAATCTGGACAATTAGAAAACAATTTAGTGTACGATCAGTCAACGCGCAATCCTAATTCCTCGAACCATAACATACAAGATGTCATAGACAACAAAGGTGAAACCATTAAAGTGTCATTAACTCCAGCTTTAGGTAGCGACTTCATTGATTTCTCGGATGAGGAAGAGGAAGGGAATAGAATAAAGACAAGACCTGGTAGATCTCTCGAAAAAGTGGGTAATGATAATGAGCTTATAAGAACTAATATAGCATCCAGTGAATCCATTAAGATTGCAGAAGTACCAGATGATAAAAAATTCGGGAAATCAAAGAAGGAAGAGAAAAAGAAAGAAAGTGGTGGTATATTTAGGAACTTCTTTAAAAGAAAATCAAAAAAAAAGGAAGAAGAACCTGTCAAACAGGTTTCTCCTGTGTCGACACCTGCATCAACACCTATGGCTGATAATGTTAGACGAGGTAATCAATCGCCTTCTTCCACGCCATCTCCGCAAAATAATTCCAAAGCTCAACGTCTCAGTCCCTTGATGAATAACCAACAGTCTCAGTCTCCGCAACTTGGTTCTTTACCAAATCGATCATCTCCACAGGCTGGATCCATAACAAATCGGTCACAATTTCAGCAAGTTGGTTCATTGCCAAATCAAAATCAAGGCCAACAGCAATCACAAAGAAACCAGATCCCACATCAGATAGATCCTCGATCACAACTAAATCAATCTCAGAAACAATCACAAAATCAATCACAATTTCAACCTCAATTACAACGACAGCCTCAGATATCTCCAAACCTACAACAGTCCCAGATACAGCAACAAACATCAAACAAAGGACTTCCGAAAGTTCAACAAGTATCTATTAGTGAACCGCCAATTCAAGTAATTCAACGTGATTCTGGCTCAATTCAACAAGAGACTTTACAGGTTTCTGCACAAGATGCAGTTCAATCAATAAAAATAAGAAACTCTCCATCTCCCATACGAGTTGTTCAACATACACCATCCGAAAGATCAATTACTCCTTTGACTCCTATTAGTCCTTTTTATAGTGTAATTCGAATATTTGCTGGTCAAAATATTTTATCAAATGAAGAATCAAAACTATTTTTATTAAGCCCGACTACAATCACCTCTACACTCATTAAGCAAGCATTACACCGATTTAAATTGGATGATGTAGAGGATTGGGAAAGTTATCATATAACGATTAAAGAAACTAATAAAGGTAATCTAAATTTCAAAAAACAAAAAAGATGGTTTATGTTCGTAATGTTTTCTAATATAAATATCAATTATATTATTCTACATAGACCAAATTCAATTAATGCCTGACGATCTCCCATTTGAAGTCTTTCATTCATTAACATCTAATAATCCTGTAACATTACCTTCAATCAGAAGGAGTTCTGTTGGATCTGTTTCTTCAACTACCTCAAATTTATCTGATATCAGTGTAATCAAACAATTAGGATTACAAAATGAGAAGGACTATATTACCTTCTTTTTAAATAGACGTTCAAAAAGAGGCAGTCGAACTTCAGGCGAGAGAAAATTACGTGTGCGGGTGCTGGTTTATAATGATGATTTACCTATTCACTTAAGGAACAACAAACAACACATACCAAGAACTTCTATGTCTGTTCCTAAACATCTCGCTGAAAAGGCTGCAAGACGACGTTCAAGAGAAGAAGGCAAGCCCAGAGAAAAGGTTGTTATGGTTTCTGGGCTTGCGACTGTTAGGCAAATTATAGAAAAAGCTATGGATAAATTTGAAATTACTGATGGTATTGTTGATGATGGCAAAAGGATTTCAGATACTGATGATAGACCGCGATATCAATTAATGGTTATTGTTGATGGAGAAGGTAATAATATCTTCATTCTCTTATCATAATTTGATTAAGATGTACTAATATTTTATGTATTTATACACTTGTTAGAAAAACCTCTTGACTCCGAAATAAATGTAATTTCGGTTTATCCAACAGCGCCGAAGCTCCATCATATATCAGTAGATTCTGTAGACTCATCTTCATCCTTGGCATTAGATTATCGGCCGGATGAACCAATGTTCGTTCTAAAACTTTTGCGACCTGAGGATCGTCAAACACGTGCAATGCCTGCTGCTTCTAATATAAATCGATTTACTCAAAATTCAAACGTTCTAACACATAATTTAAATAAAAAAAACGAACTAAAGACAAATGACGATATAGTAAATAAACGTAAACAGTTTATCGAGCAGCAACGTAAACAGCTTATCGAGCAGCAACGTGAATACAGCCGTGAACAACAAAGATCTATTCTTTCTGCACATAAAAATACTTCACAAGGTGTTGATATTGTTACGAAAGTTGGTGCCATTCGAAGTTCTCGTATTTTTGGTGCCAAAGTTCGATATTCTTTTATTCCAACAAAAGGAGAAGAAATCGATATTAGTGACCTAATTGAAGATATTTTGGGTGATGATGATGAAATTTTAAATTCAGATGAACAAAGCGACTCATCCGTTAATGACCATTACAATAATAATCAAGACAGAAAGAGAAGAGATCAATTTCGTAAAAGCACAACACAAGATGTAGATATTTTAGTAAAGATGATAAATAGTGCGCATAATAATAATGGAAATGTTGTAAAATCTTTCGAGGAAAGAATTGAGCGTGTTCTGCAACAAGTTGATCGATATGGTAATGGCATGGTGCCAAATCTTGCAACTGCTTTACGTGAAACATCAGAACAATCATTCCGGCAAAATTCAATTAACAATTCACAGAAAGATGTACCAGTACTTAATGAACGTTCTAATAGTCTATCAAGTAGTTGGTCTTTTCCATCACCAACACGTTCTACTGCCACGCCTGATGATTTTAGTAATGATTTTGATGATGAAGACGACGATTCAGTATCAGAATTGTATTCTTCAAGATTTAAAAATTTACCATCATTAACAATAGAAAGATCACAATCTCAAGAGTCTCTTTCTCGAACGCCCCATAAATCAAGACAAAGATCATTCTCTTCTGCATCAAACAATTCTATAAACACTAACACTACCTTAGATTCAATAACACCAGGAAACCACCTTCCATTATTTAGAAAGTCATCTACTGCCTCTTCATTTACGGACAGTGATTGGATATTAACAGATGACTTTGGGTTACAAGAATTATTGATACTTGTCAGATCCGGGGTAAATATGTTAGAATTAAAAGAAAGGAGAAGAAGTGGATGGCAAATACATGAGGATCCTGAAAAAATATTACATGCGATTAAACTCACGGATATTAGAAATGATATTAGGGACGTTTTTGATAATGTTAACAATGAATTGGATCAATTAGAACAAGTAAGATCGAAGTTTTAATTTTGAAAGTTTAATTGGTCTTTTTTTATTATTGCTTTATAAATTACTTGTGATAACCTTTTTTAATCTTTTTTTTTTTTTACACAGGAACTCGACCAACTTATGGATGATGCTATAAAGGTTTTCTAGCATTAAAGCAATTTGGACAATAACAAAAATACCAAGATTTATCATTAAACTGTTGTCCATTAGTCGTGTCATTTTAATAAGCAACTTGTATAATAATTTATGTACTTCACAAACTTAATATCGGATGTATAAATATTACCAATATTAATAAACTTAAGGATAAAAGGTTATAATTGGCTACAATAATGAAAATTTCAAAGTTCCTCATTGGTTGATCATTCTAAAAAAAGATTTATATGTTGTTAATTCTAATAGACTTTGTTTTTTAATACAATAACTCTTTATTATACTCGCGATTCCCATTTACTAATTTATCTATCAAAATATTGAATTGAAACAATAATGCAGTAACCATAAAGTGGAGGATACAAACCGAAAATTAGTATTCAACAGGATCATCTTTGCTATCAGCAAGTTCTTCATTGGCCGCTGGTTCTTCAGTGTTGGTATTTCCTTCATTATTACTTACCGTAGTTTCCATGGCTTCGGCAGCCGATGACTCTTTAGTATGAGCATCATTTTCAGTATTCTCTTTCGGTGATTTATTTTCATCTTTTTCCTCATGTTTATCAACTTCCATCTTATTTTCATCACGTGTTTTACCGGATTTTTCATTTTTATTGTGCCCAGTAATTTCAAAATCATTATTGATATTGCCCTCTTCATTTTTCCCATTTTCACTATAAGATATTAATGACGATGATTCTAATGCCACTTGTCGTTTCTGTATTGCGATAGTTTGCACTACAGATTGAGACATTTTTGCTGGAAGATAATATAGAGATGGCTGTGTATTTGTACGAAGAAAATTGGCAAGGTTCTTCTTTTGCGTCGCCCAACAGACTCTCTTATTGTGATTAAATGACAAATAAAATAAGCAAAATCACATTTTACGCAAAAAATAACTTTAAATTATATCTAGCCCTTACCGCCTCATTTGTTCTTTTTTCTTCAGCCTCTCTTCTTTCTCTGACAATTCTTTCTTTCCTCTCTTGTTCCTCCTTTTTAATATTTTCCACCAATTCTTCATGTTCTTTCTTTAGTTTTTCTTGCAGTTTTCGTTCAATTTGTTCACGTTTTATCTCCTACATCATCAACAACAAAACGACATAAATGATAAGATTCAATGATCTATAATTAATGTAAAAATTAAAAATTAAAAATTGCAGTACATACAGCCTCTGTTTTATTTTGACTTTCATTTTTAAATTTTGTCAACGTATCTAATAAAACACCAAACATCTTTCTACTTCGTTTTTTTACTTCTTTGTTATTCATGTCTAATCGAGGCCTTTTTGTCTATTATAAATAGAAAAGTTTTTGATTATTATTATTACTATCAAATGCCATAGACCAAATTAAAATTATCGATTGAAATTCTAACCTCGTCATTGTTCTGACGAGTAAGTTCGTTACTAGCCCGTCGTTTTGGTAAAGCATCCTGGCGGCCAGATCTTTTTGAGGTAGTGGGAATTACGATGCTTGATGTTACAACTGTTTGACTGTGAATAATAATTTTTAAGTTTTCAATGTACACAATCAATAAAACAAAGTATATAACTCCAAATAATGTATTTGCTTTTTTTTTTTTCTTTACCTTGGGCCGCTTTCAGTGTTAGTTTCAAATCGATCCGCAAATTCTGTAGCCATATTTTTGCGGGTAATTTAAACACTTGTATGATTCGTTCTTCTGCGTTTATTGTTTCACAGACAAGTCGTTAACTAAATAGCAAAGATTAACTACTATGTATTTATTTACTTTTATGTCAGGCATAAGGAAGAAGCAAAGATGCAAAACTGAGGACGTAAGTATATACGTATAACATTCCTAATTTGGTGCCGGAACTTAAATTATTGACTGTACTCAGAACAGTTTGGGCATCTCGGTTTGGTCTGGACTCCGAACCGCAGTACTTACACATAGGCAGAAGTTTATCTGATTGGTCGGTTTTTTTTTTCTTCCCAACAAAAAATTCGAACACCTGAGTGGCTGTGGCTGTTAAAGAGGCTTGCTACACCGAATCATCAATAAAGATATACTTTGACAGGCAATCCGGATTGCATCAAATTCGGATTGAATCCGTATCAGATATATATAAAGCCACATCCATATTCGTTGTTTGACTAATCTGAGTAAAAATTTCTGATCTGAATATCAGAATTTAAAAATCAATTCAAATAACCTTACTGTATATAAAAAGTATAAAAAAAGTTGAAAACCTTTTATTAATCCTAGTATAGTCAAATCTGTTATATAAAACCTAAACAATATAAGTAAAGCTTAGCTAAAAAAGATTTTTGAAAGTCACAAATAGAAGAAAAATCAGTAACAAAGTATCGTATAATAAAGAATTTAATACAGTGCGGGACAGCAAGAGACATCCAATATAATTAACTTACTTTAAATTATTATAACTTAAAAACAAGACATGATAAAAAAAATTCCTCTGACAGATTAATAGTTTATAAGTTAAGCTACAATTCTGTCAAAGGAATTTTTATTTTAATTAGTTTTTAAGAAATTATAAAGGATCAAAGTTTACTAATTTTTATATTAACATTAAAAATTGACGCATATATCTAACATAACTAAATAATGGTTTATTGGCTAAAATTATATACTAGATATGTAAAATCGAATTAAATAATCTTTTGAGTAAGAATAAACAAGTCCTAATAACGAAATTTATTACAATTTTACATAGTCTTGGGTATAAAGTGTAATTGAACCTGCGTAGTCTAATAATCAACAGATTATTGAACCATATATTCAAATCAAATATTGAACAATGCTGGTCAAACTTTAGTAAAGCTGGTATATCATATATACCATATAAGTACGAAATAACGCGCAGGGGTGTAATTTGGAATTTCAGCCTAAATTAAGCTTAATTTAGCCTAAAATTCGAGATAACGCCTCTGCGCATTATTTCGCACTTATATAAGTGACGAAAAGGGAAAACCTGTAAATCATCTCACTCAATGAGTGAAATGATTTACAGGTTTTCCCTTTTCGTCACTCATCTGGTAACATGAAAATTACGCGAAACCCGTTTTACTGCTTAACGACTTTTATATCACATGACTTAAATTCTCCGCTGCTTTAATGGATGAATTATTAGTGGATTAAATAACTAAGGACTTTGTTTAAACAGAGACAGGATTAGGCCTGAATTAGAGGCAGATAAGTTAGACTTCTAAACTCAAAGAACCCAGAATGAGCATACAAGTAAAGAAAATTAGCATTACAGAGGTCACTAATAATAAATCTAATCTTACTTGAATACTATTGTGCGATGATAATAAAATAGAGCGAACCTAGTTCTGAGCTTAGACTGAATATTAATAATGGTTGATAAAAGAATGTAGATGCAGAATAGATAAAAGCGCCTGACGTTCAGTCTAAAAATGTCAAATACAGAGACCTGGTGCTTGGTCTAAAAATGAGAACCAAATGCCAATATGCATAACGTATGCATTTACAGATTCCTAATTAGAACCAATTCCATTATTTTTGAAATAAGTTGTCTCAGAAATAATCATAAATAAAAATTAAGAACTTCTAATCATTATAATCATATGAGTGCTGCTAATGTTAAGAAAAAGTCGAACATCAGTTCATTATTGATTATTTAAATAATCAATGATAAACTGATGTTCCACTTTTCTTTAGCAGCACATTACTTACATCGATTCTCAAAAGGCTCACAGCAAAGTTAATTTAGTTTACAAATAACTTTGATAATAATAATCAATAATGTTGTAATCATAATATACTAATCTTTGTCACATTTATTTATAAATTATTAAGATTTTTGCTAAGTAAATTAGAATAAAAAATGAATAAAAGCACCTGATACCTGGTCTAAAAATGTCAGATACAGGAACCTGATACCTGGTCTAAAAAGTAAGAAACTTCTAATATGAGTACTGCTAAAAAAAAGTGAAATATCGGTTTATCATTAATTATTTAAATAATCAATAATAAACTGATGTTCCACTTTTCCTTAGTAGCACTAAATTTTCAAAAAGCTCATAATAAAGTTAATTTAGGTTACAAATTCTTTGATAAAAATAATTAGTAATATTATGATTAAAATATACTAATCTTTGTTACATTTACTCACAAAATATAAAGATTATTGCTAAGTAAATTAGAATAAAATATTTTAAAATTGAATAATATTGCTTCAAAATAATACCTTGATACGTATAAAGTATTCTTCATGCAATTTGATATGCCTATTTTGAAATATATATTGTTATAGAATCTCAAATAATATGTAATTGATAAAATATAGTAGCTATTTAAGTAAAATTCAAATAAAAAATATAATAAAAGAGAATCTTTTGCCTGGTAAGTTCTAGACTTTTATTTTGGCTTAAAATAATAAAACCTCTTATATATAACTATTGCAAGAATTTGCATATCTAAAAAAAATAATTACTTTTTGATTGTTTAATTTAAAACAATTATATCAAAATCTTCAAATCTTAAAAACCTACAAAAAGAAAAAATAAATGCAGTTCATTCTTCTTAGAAGCTTATTGACTTTAGCTCAAATAAAGAATATAAAAGCATTAATTTAAATTCAAATAAAGATAATGATTCAGATAATAATTATTTAATAAATAATAATAATAACAGTATAAAATCAATAATCAATCATTTTCTTATAGCTTTAAAGACTAGTTTCAAAAAAATAGATATCTAAAAATATATATTGAGTTTTTTGCACAGACTTGTTAAAAAAAATAAAATATTAAAAGAAGCAGCAATAGAAAGTTTAAAGATTACAAGTTTTTTTTTACTACAAATATACAAACACAGCCTACTAATAAATATAAATAAGTTAGTACTTTAAAAAATAAATATAGAGATAGTAAATTAGAGAATAAAGAAGTTTTGATTAGTAATGCTATCAAATTTGTAAATAAACAATAAATAAAAAAGAACTTTCAAAAATTGATAAAACTTATTATACATCTGTTTTTTATTTTTTATAATTACTTTTAAATAGTTTTAATCTGAAAATTTTCTATTTTAATAATAATAATAGAAGCTGTTTAACTATAATATAAAGATTATCTTAAGAATAACAATTCTAATATAGTAGTTGGGTTGTTATTCTCCAAGTGACAGGTCTAAAGTTCAAATTCTATCTACAGTCAAAGTTATAAGTATTCTACCCCTTCTAACTTTTTAAATTGAAAAGATATAGCTTTAAAATTTTTATAACAAATATTATTATATAAATCTAAATCAGTAAAATTTTTTTATAATTTTTTAATTACTACAACAAAAGTTAGATGAAAGCTAAACTTTTACTTGATTTTTTTTAAGAAAATAAAAAATAATAATTGTATTTAATCAAAAATTAATAGAGATTTA